GAGTTCGCTGGTGTGATAAATGAAGCGGGGGTGGGAAGCTCCCTTTTATGGACACTCAGCCAGCCAGGTAGCTATAAAATACCTCTTAGTAGCTGTTCTCTACTTGCTTTACCTGTAAAGGGTAAAAAAGTCTCATTGCATGCATAGATAACAGGAAGTGAGTGGGCACCTGGCCAAAAGAGCCAATGGGAAGGCTGGAGCTTTTTAAAACTGAGAAAAAACTTCCCCTTTGTCTGTCTGCGGTTGTTCTCCAGAGAGAGCGGGAAAGGCAGCAACTCTGCTGTAAGAAGCTTTGGGCCAGGTATGAAAAATCATCTGAATCATACCTAGAAACTAGGCCTTTGAAACCCCCAGATATGTAAGTAGATCAGGAAATGTCTAGGAACATGCTATTTGATTTATCTCTTTTTATATCTTTATGGCATGTGGATTCCTCTGGGCTAACCCCAAATGCTTTTGTTTTTGCTTGTAACCTTTAAGATGGACCTCAAGAAAGCTATTCTGGGTGCTTAATCCTTGGAATTACTCTTTTAAAATCTAGCAATAACCTGAGTTCCCAGATGTATTTTCTTTCTTTTTAAATAAAATTTACCATTTTTAAGAACAGGATTGGATTTTTGTGTCCTAAGAGGTAGAGCATGTTGTTTAATTAGCTGGTGGCAACATCTGATTTCCTTTGTTTTTCTTTCTCAGCTCATCCCCCAGACGGGCGGTGAAAGGGCTTGAGGGTACCCCACGGGAAGGAATTCCCAAGTGTGCCTTTCTGGGCTCTCAAAGGGTTGTTGTTGTTTTTTTCACTTGGGTGGTGGCAGCCTCTATCAATCCAAGGTCAGAGAGAAGCTGTGACCTTGGGAGTTGAATACCAGCCTGGAGTGGCCAGTATTAATTTTTAGAATCCTTGAGGGCCCCACCTTCTGCACTCAAAGTCACTGCCCCTGAGAACAGCCTCCATCCCTCCCCCAGAGCAACCACTGGGGGAAACTGCCCCATAATCTGTGACTCAATAGATTCCCCCCGGCACTGGTACCTGGTCCCGCGCTGCCCGGGTGGGTGGGATTCGGCACCGCTCCAGCCTGGGTCGGGTCGGTTCCCCCTGCAGGAATAGAACCAGCATCCATCGGGGTGGGGGAAAGGGCTGAAATGGTGACTCAGCAATCATCCCACCCCCCACCCCGCAATTCAGCATCGATCGTCGGGGTCATTCTGGGTGGGGGGATGGAGATTTTTGTGGCTGGGGCCGGGGCCGTCTGGGCAGCCCCTGGGCCCCGACTCCTCTGTGCATCCCCAGAGCAGGGGCAGCCCAGGGGAGCATCCCCTGGCAAAACCCCCCTGCTCTGCAGCTCCCCCTGGGGGCAGGGATCCCCCCTCCCTCAGCCTTGAATCTCCAGTGGCTACTTCCCGACCGGATGTCCCCAACTCTGGGCCCGGGACTCAGGGCAGAGCCTGGCTCTAAGCATCCCATAAAGTCCGAGCCCCCGAGGGTCCATCTGGGGGTGGGGCTGGGAGTGGGGACACCGAGCCGAGCCCCTCACCTGCTACCACCAGCTGCACGGGGTCGCTGGGCTGCAAGGAGACGAAGGGCTCTGATCGGGGCGGGTAGCTGCAGCTGTAGCTCCCTCCGTGCTGCCGGCCCACGGTGGGGATGCGGAACTCAGACCCGTCCCCGGCAGGGTCCATGTGTCACTGTGGGTCACCCCCCGTGGCCATTTACGGGCCCAGCTGCCCCAAGAGGAAGCCTCCGGCTGTCCCGTTAGCAGCGGGTTTGTGTCTGAGGCAGAGGCTTCGCTCCCCTCCCAAATCTGTCAGCTGGGGGGAGTCACTGCCCCTGAGAACAGCCTCCGTCCCTCCCCCTGGGCAACCACTGGGGGAAACTGCCCCATAATCTGTGACTCAATAGATTCCCCCCCACCCCCCACCCCCGGTACCTGGTCCTGGGCTGCCAGGGTGGGTGGGAGCCGGAGCCTCTCCAGGCTGGGATGGGTCGGTTCCCCCTGCGGGAATAGAACCAGTGTTCAGCGGGGTAGGGGCTGAAACAGCGACTCAGCGATCGCCCCACCCCCCCACGACTCGGCATCGATTGTCGCTGTCATTCCAGGGGGGGATTTTCGTGGCTGGGGGCCAGTGCCGGCTCGGCAGCCCCCGGGCCCTGACTCCTCCATGAGTCGCCAGAGCTGGGGCAGCCAAGGGAACTTCCCCCTGGGACAGGCCCCGGCTCTGCAGCTCCCCCTGGGGGCAAGGCCGTGTTCCCCTCTCATTGTTTACATCCATGTGCGGAATCAGTTTCGTTATGTGCACAGAGAGGTGATGTGTGACGGGGGTGGGGCCGAAGGGTTCAGAGTGTGGGAGGGGGCTCAATGCTGAGGGAGGGAGTTGGGGAGTGGGTGGGTGAGGGCTCCAACTATGGGTGGGGGTTCTGGAGTGGGGCTGGGGCTGGGGTTGAGGGGTTTGGGGTGCAGGCTGCCTCAGGGTTGCGGCGGGGAGAGAGGACTCCCCCCAGCCCTCTCTCACTGCAGCAGCCCGGGGCTGGGGGAGAGGTGCCTCTCCCTGGCCGTGGCAGTTTAGAGGGAACTTAAGGGCAGGGATCTCCCCTCCCTTAGTCCCAAATCTCCAGAGGCTGCTGCTGCTCCCCCTGGCTGGGGAACCCCGCAGTGACTCCGTCCCCTCTCCCCAGCCGGGCATCTCCTCTGCTGGGACCAGGGCTCAGGGCAGAGCCTGGCTCCGAGGGCCCCATCGGTGGAGTGTCCCCCTCAGAGTCCGGCTGGGTGTGGGGCTAGGAGCGGGGATGCCAAGCCAGGACTCTCACCTGCTACCACCAGCTGCAAGGGGTCGCTAGGCTGCGAGGAGACGAAGGGCTCTGATCGGGGCCGGTAGCTGCAGCTGTAGCTCCCTCCGTGCTGCCGGCCCACGGTGGGGATGAGGAACTCGGCCCCATCCCCAGCAGGGTCCATCTGTCGCTGCAAGTTCAGGTCTCCAGCCTTGTGCAGGAAGAACCTCACGTCCAGGCGCTGCCCCTGACACCGGATGGTGGCGTCTGCCCCTGGGGCGGTAACCGAAGTGAAGCTCAGCGAGATGGAGAGTCTGGGTAAGCTCGGATCTGCACGTAGGAGAAAGGCTGTGAGAGCCAGACCCGGGCACCCACCCAGCCCTGCCTCCCTGGCCTACCCCAGCCCTGGGCACATCCAGGGGCCCCCGGGCAGAGATTCTCTCCCAGATCCCAGAGTTCCCCCCACCCAGAATCCCGGCCCTGCGAGCTGGGCTCCCAGTCCCACAGACACTGAGCCACAGCTCCCTAGTTCTTGGGATCCTCATATGCCTGTGTGTGGCCCCTGCCTCATTCACTGCATCCGGCCTGCCCTGGACACAGAGTGACTGAGCTGTTCTCTGGGGCAGCGCACAGCCGGAGAACAGCAGCTGAGCTGACCCCGAGCAAGGCAGGGGCGATGCTGGAGGCGGAGGGCGGCACCAGGAGGGGTCGGCAGGTGTAGCGCAGTCTCCGGTGGCCGACGGCGCTTGCCCACAATCGGTGGGTTTAGGCTGCAGTCTGGGGAGCTCCTGGATTCCCCGCGGCCGCTGAGCTCTCACGTAGCAGCGTCCATGAGCAGCGCTTTCCCCCAGCTGTGCTGGGCTAGGAGACGCCGTCCCATCCTGGCAGCAATGACCTGCCCTCGGGTCACGCCGCCGGCGCCCATTGGCCGGACCGCGCTTTGATAGAGCTGGGCAGGAAGCCATCAGCCCTTCGCAGACTCCAGCTGGCCCAGACGCTGCAGCGCGGCTCCTCCCCAGCACAGCCTGCCGCGAGGGCACCACACCCGGCCCCCGCTCCCTGCATCGGCTTCCCGCAGACGCCCTGATCTCCGAGGTGCCCGAGGGCTGAGCCCAGCGTATTCCCAGCTCCGGCTGCAGGGTGCTGCGAGTGCCGGCTGCGTGGGCCCGGGCTGGCCGCTCGAGGACAAGCCGCCCAGGGCGCCGGGTGCACACGCGAGCGGCTAGTCCTGCTTGGACACAGCTCCATTGCTATTTTCAGCTCCATCAAAGCTAGCCCGGGTGCCGCACGCCGGCCCCCAGCTGCAGGGCAGACACCCGACAACAGCCCACAGCTCTGGGTTGACCCCGGGGTGACGGCTCCCTGCCTCCGGCCCGGCCACAGTCAGGGTCACGCTCATCTGGGCAGGGGACAGAACTTCCTCTGGGGCCAGGCCCAGGCTGCAGAACGAGCTCCCCCAGCAGCCAAGGGCCCCCCAAACCTCCCCACCTCCGGCTCCAAGGCCAGGCGCCCTCCCCCCAGCCGGCCTGCTCCGTTATCAACCCAGGGCAGCACAGCCATTGACCCCCGCAAACCGCCCCAGACCAGACCCTCCACGGTGGGCACAGACCTCCCCCTGGGAGAGGATGAGAGAGAACGACCCGCCCGTGACAGACGGGGCCACGTTGCTTAATGCTCGACTGGCAGGCGCCCCGACACCGCGGTGACCAGGGCAGCGTCAGACCATGTGCAGGGTAGAAGGCTGCTCCCTCCTGGCTGGGACCCCTCCAGTGACTCCGTCCCCGCTCCCCGGCCGGACGTCCCCTCTGCTGGGCTCAGGGCTCAGGGCAGAGCCTGGCTCTGAGTGGCCCAGCGGTGCGAGCCCCCGGGGATCTAGCTGGGTGTGGGGCAGGAGATGCCGGGCTGGGCCCCTCACCTGCTACAATGATCTGCACAGGGTCGCTGGGCTCCGAGTAGGCAGCTGGGTCTGTTCTGTTGCTATAACGACAGGTGTAGCTGCCACCGTGTTCCCGTCTGGCGCTGGTGATGGGAAATTCAGCCTCAGAGCCAGCAGGGTCCGTGTAATTCAGATAGTTCCCAGCTCCAGCCTTGTAGAGTTGGATCCTCATGCCCAGGTGCTGATGCCAACACCAGATGGTGACATTTGCCCCCATGGGGATCACCCCACCGGGGCTGACAGAGATGGAGGGTTTGGGGTAGGACCCCTCTGGATGCACAAACAAACAGGCAGTAAGTGGGGGTGATACAAACCGCGTCCGGGGTGAGACACAGGAAGCAGAAAGGTGGGGTTACCATATTCAAACATTTAAAAAAGAGGACACTCCACAGGGCCCCGCCCCAACTCTGCCCCGTCCCCGTCCCCGCCCCCATTCCAACCCCTTCCCCAAAGTCCCTGCCCCAACTCTGCCCCCTCCTCTGAGCACCCCGCATTCCCCCTCCTCCCTCCTGCTCTGATCTTGGTCAGGGGTTGCTAAATGCTTCCCTGCTCCCCACTCGCCCTGCAGCCCCTGCACCCCCACACCCCTGCAGCCTCTGTGCCCCCTGCGCCCCCCTGCCCCTGCAGCCTCTATGCCCCTTCCTGCCCTGCTCCTCCTCGCCCTGCAGCCTCTGCACCCCCCCCGCCTGCCCTGCCCCTGCAGCCTCTATGCCCCTGCCTGCCCTGCAGCCCCTGCAGCCTCTGTGCCCCCTGCTCCCCACTCGCCCTGCAGCCCCTGCCCCCCCCGTCCCTGCAGCCTCTGCGCCCCCTGCAGGCCCTGCCCCTGCAGCCTCTATGCCCCTGCCTGCCCTGCTCCTCCTCGCCCTGCAGCCTCTGCACCCCCCCGCCTGCCCTGCTTCCCCGCTCCCCCGGCAGAGGGAGAGCTGCGGGCTCCACGTGGACCCAAACACTGTGCCGCGCTGCTCTGCGGGGGAGGGGGAGGGACTCTGGCTGCTAGAGGCCCCAGTGCCTGCGAGCGGCTTTCAATCAGGCCTAGCCGTCCAATCAGCCACGCCACACTCTGCATGAGGGGAAGGGGGAAATCCCGGACATTTCTACTTTATTAGAAATCCCGCCCCCCACCCCCAGACAGCCATTTAAAGCTGAAAAAACCGGACATGTCCGGGGAAACCCGGACGGATGGTAACCCTAAGAAAGGAGATTTCCAGTCTCTGATTCCTTTAGTTCTCCAGGGTGAATTCAGCCCTGTCCCTGCTGCAGTCAGGAGTGACTCCGGATTGACCCCAGGGGGCTGAGATCAGAACCCGGCCCTGCCCCCACTGCCGTCAGGGGTGACTCTGGATTGACCCCGGGGGCTGAGATCAGAATCACCCTCCTTCTGTTTTTCTAACATTGTAGCAGAGCTGCAGCCCTGCTGGAGTTGGGCTGAACATGGATTATTCTTTAAAACAGTCTAAAAAACCACATTTACTCCAATTGTCCGGCAATGTGCTGTATGCACAGAACGCACAGCTTTGAGTGCAGGTGAATTCTCCCTGTGTGGTGCTGTGACAGAAAACCGCTTAGCCAACCCTCTGTCACACCAGCTCCAATTCAGGGAGGTGAATTGGAGCTGGGTAGATGACCTGGCCCTGATTGGGGAAGCTGGAACAGCTGCTGCCTCATCAGGCTGGGGCTGGATAAAAGCCCCGGGGGAAGGAAGCCAGGGAGAGCTGGACAGGCTGTGAGCCGCACTAGAGGACAGGCAGTGAGGGGAAGCAGAGCGAGATAGCAGGTCCCCCTCTCTCCTGCTGGTGGACTGTAAGAAGGGGACCATGTGTATGGTGGAAAGGTGGTGGGAACCCAACCTGTAAATAAAAGCACCAGGGAAGCACTGCACCAAGGTCTCTGTGTGACTTTCTCAGCCCAGTGGGGGCAGGAGCCAGGAGAGCCCTGCAGGGACCCCGTTACAGGTGCCCATCCCTGTAATGAGTGGGGCGAGGTCTCAGTCCCCACCTCTGGGTGTGGAAGGGAGCAGAGGTCTGACAGGATCATCCCTTTGGGGGATCTGTGCCACCCACCCACCTCCCTCGTCCTTAATGTGGAAATTCCCCCAGCTGCCCTATTCCCCACAGATACTCACCTCCCGACACCCCGCTCCGCCCGGCCAGCCAGCAGCCTGGAAAGGAGACGGGTCATTAGGAACCAGATCCCAGAGCAACTGGATCCTACACCCTGGTCTCAGATCCCCCCCCATGGGCACACACCCTGGCTGTCTCCGATACTCACCAAGGAGGAGGACGGTGAGAGCAGACGCCATGACGGGGTAGTGGGGGCCCCTCAGTCCTGCCACTAACACCCCAGTGCTGAGCTCCACCGAGTCTGAGGCCCGAGTGTGAGCGGAATGAGGAACTGTGCCGGGGGCTGCAGCCCCAGGAAGCCCGTGATGCGCTCGGCCCCTTTCCGCCCCATCAGATGGTTTCTCTGCAATCTCCAGCCCAAATGTACCGTGGTCAGAGCAAAACCAGCTCCCTGCAAGGCCCAGCAAACCACTTCCCCTCCTGCAGCTGCCTGGTCCCCCCACCCCCATCACGTCTCAGCCCCACATGGGAGCTGCCCAGTCCGGGGACCAGCTGGGAATGGGGGAATCTCAGGAGATGTCAAGAGATTCCCAGGCTGCCCTGACCTTTTCCAACAGGCCCGTCTAGCCTCCCTGGAGCAGCAGCTCAGAGCAGAGGAGGGATCCCCCCCCCACACACACACACAGCTACCCACGGAGAGACCCTCTCCAATGGAGTGGGGCAGAGGTTCCTTCCTGACCAGGCTGGGCCCATCGCCCACCCTGGAGCATGAGGGTGGAGGGACCTGGCCAACCTCCTTTTCAGGTAGCGTCGCTGCAGATGCTATTCTTAGCACAGTGGTGTGAGACAGACGGGACAG